GTGCTATCCTGTCAAATTAGTTAAAAAAAAAAAAACCAAAACAAAATCATAATCGTTGTTACACAAGAACAGGAAATGGAAGCTCCCAGTGAGAAAAAGCCAAATGAGCACCAAGCAATTGCTACGTAGTCACGGGTGATGTGTGCCAGTGCTTTTCTTCCCCCCTCTCCCTCAGCTCTTCCTTCGTGCTGGAGAACAGCATCTGTTTCAGCTCAAACGCCGAGCACGCACGCTGCATGGGGACACGGGGAAGATACGTGATGACCTCAACATACTTCTCCTCATAGTGTATCAGCCTTCGGGCCAGCACAGCCATCCCTGGAACGCACCACGTTCTGCAGAGCATTTCCATTTTCCTTCCCCTGCTACGGCAAAAGGAAACAACATTGCTGCTGGTTTAGTCATCAGATCACATTTATCCCGGCTATAGCCTTAAGGGTTTCATTGAATTTTGGATCAATGGGGTTTTGTGCCCGGATCCCACAGTGCTAACAAGGAGTGAGCTTCCTCAGTGTTTTTTAGGATGTACACAGAGATTTAAAGTGATGCTGTTGGGCAGCGCTCCAAGTACACCTGCTTCTCTCATTCTGTCACTTGGCAAAAAAATTTAAAAAAATATAAATAAAACAAAACAAAAAACTAATGCAAGGTTCATGTAGATGGAAAACAGCAGCCTTAAACACTGGTCTATTGTCCATTCTAAGGGAAGAGTCTCACCAGCTAAATCACCAAGAGCAGATGCAATAAAAATCAGTTCCTAGGTCACCAAAGAGAAATGGAGATTTTAGTTCCAAAAGTATGCAAGCTATTGAGGGGTCTTGTGTTTCAAGAACACCTGAAGCTTACACTGTGGGCCTGCCCCAGGCTCATTTACAAAGCTCAAAACCATCAGGCTGACTAGGTGGTATGAGGGGGAGGTCACAGGCTGGAGAGCATTTAGCCATGCTGAGTGTGAGGTATGTGTGACATCGCATGACTACAGCTATATGTGGCTTTGGAATTTTAAATAAAAAAAAAAAAAAAAAGAGTAAAAAAAGAAATCTCAGTTTTCAGTAGATTCAGCAAATCAAGAATAAGAGAATAAGTGGCGATAACTATGGACGCAATGTGTACAAGGCACTGTGACAATTTGTTTTATGTGTATCATCCTTGTTAAACATATTCATGGATCTAACAGGGTACCTCTGTGGGCAGCAATGAGGTGCTGGCACCAATACTCCTTTTTAATAGGAGACATATATACGTATACTGCAACATCATAGTGAAAGCACTGAAGCTCTGGCTTTATCCCAAACAGATGCACAAGCCTGATGTGAAAGTTCCTGTCTGTCCTTCTCCATTTGTGTCATATGGGAGGGCGCATATGGTCATAAGCCTCTTTCAGGTCTTAAAACTAAGGGAGGTGGATTAAACTCATAAGAGATCCTAGCAGCCTCGTTTTAGTAGTATGTGCCAGCATCCCCCAAAATTGCAATAAATCGTGGTGATAAAACTCACAATTTCATCCATACTAACTCATTCCGTACTCCTGAAGGCACCCAGGACTGCAACCCACACGTACACTGGATAGCTGAAGATAAGAACAAGTGCCAATAAAGAACAGAAATCTCTCTACACCAAGAATTTACATAACTAGCTCCCGTTACTGCTAATTAGACTGATTCCCCTAACTCCTCCGTTACATTTTTCTGCATTTTCCAGTTAGCTCTAGTAGCAAGGTACATAATAAATTATTATTAAATAGAAACCTAATTAATCACATTACAAGTACTTAAAAGTACAGATTAAGCAGTGCACAACTATTTTATTCTAATGAAGACCTTACAACTAGCAACTCGGTGCACTAGATAAAGGTACCTGAAGCTACTTCACTATGCCAAACCTGCCCTCCAACTTTGGAGTTTTAGAAATATTTAAAATCTTTTTCCCTCCCTTTTACCATGGAAGAGACCTATACAAGTCAGAGAAACACTGATTAGAGGAGAAACTGTGTAATTGATTTTGTATATTTGACAGCAACTTCAATTTTTTTTCTTCTGTCTTTTTTCAGCTACAGCAAGGATTTTTATTTTTTTTTAAAGATGGATTGTATTTTAATAGAGCAATTTCCTTGAGTGCTTCCTATGTCATATCATATAATGTGCCAGTAGCATGAGAGAAAGAAAGTATTTCAACTATTTTAATCTGTCCTATGGGAGGAGTTAGCCAATGGGAGGGAGGGTAAGGCTGTAGTCATACGATCAGGTAGTGGTCCACAGACCTCCAGGTGACGTGACCATCATTTCACGAGTCAGTGAGCTGCAATACATTTCATCTTGCTGTTCCACACTACCACAAGCACATTCCATGCAGTTGAGAATTGAGATGTCTTAAAATTAAAGAATGGAGTGTGCTATAGTATTTGCAAAGTGACCAGTAAACTTTGACATGAGACAAGCAGGCACTGGTCAAATTGTCCAGGCTCTATGAGCCCATCGTTCCACGCAACAAGAAATGATTATCTGGCCTTATCCCTCCTTCAGAGGAACGGGAATTGAGAGCAAGCAAAAAAAAAACCACCAAAGAAGGTTGCCAATAGTGTTTTAGAGAAGTTTCTTTCAAAGCAGCATCCATTAACCCGTGCCAGGCTTTCCCCCCACGGCTCTCGGGCACAGCTCTCACACAGGTGTGCAGCAGCAGGGTTCCCTCTCAGCCCCTGGGACCAAGCCAGCTCTACTTTGGGCATCCCACAGCAAACCAGCACACAACAAGTTGTTTCAAGCGCGTTACACACAGTCAGTCACTTGAAAAGAGAAGCTGAACGGCTTACACCATGAGAGCCCCTTTTAAAAAAAAAAAAAAAAAAAGGGCAAAAAAAAAAGCTGCTACATGCACGCAGAGCTTGATTTGCCATGTGCAGAAATCCTTTACAACACTTGAAGAGGCAGCTGCCGAAAAGCAAATGCCAGTTGGCAGCACGGACGAGCTCCCTCCAAAGCCATCCCACGTGCAGGGTCTCTCCAACACACCTTCTGCAGCCTCTCCTGAAGAGGCTGGAGAACCAGAGGCTTTCCCCTTGGTGTAAGAAAGGGATGTTCCCAAAAGCAGGGGTAGAGCGAGGGTGTGTGGAAAAAGTACAAAGAAAAGGAGGGAGGAAAGGAGTAGTGGAAAGAAAGAAAGAAACAGGGATAAAAGAAGGAACAAGGAGATGGAACAAGACAGGAGACATTTTTGTATTGATACCTTCAGTATTAGTATCCGCAAGGGAAAATGGAAACAAATACAAGTATCAAAGAGAACAAAAGCATTGAGAGAAACGTGGAAAGAGCAATGGCCAGGAATAGCAGCTGCTCCAGTGTCATGCCCAGGTTACTCCTCCCCAGCAGGTCCTAAACTTTAGAGGCAAGACGTTAAATGAGGCTTCTGGGCAGCCCCTTCTGGCCTGGCATATCAGAAGGACCCAGGGTCACCCATGCTTTCTAATTGTGCTACTCATTTGGGGATACAGGAGAAGAAATAAATTCAAACAAATAAATAAACAACTTCAGAAGCTGTTCCTAATGGCCAGAACAGTTTCCATGCCAGAGCAGTTAGCACTTTGCCCCTCTGAAAAGTCTTGACGTCCTTACCATTTTTGTGTCGCAGATTCCCACACGGAGAGACAACATGACCAAACCCACTCCCCTCCTTGCTAAAAACAGAACCAAAGACCTGAGCATCCCCAGGTCAGACCGATCAGACAGAACGCCTGCAGGTCTGAAGCTCTCAAGTGGGTTCAACCATTTAAACTACAGGCAGAGGACTCAGAGTGTGATCTGAGAAGTTACAGATCTCACGTAACACCTATACGCCATCGATACTGATGCGGCGAAAGATCATGGAAAAAAAAACAAAGAACCAAAATAAACCAAACCAAATAGCTCCTACTGAACTGGTTAACGAGGGGTGTTATGAGGGAATAAGAAACTCCCTTTCCTAGATTTCAGGAGTGCTGTTCAGGCCCCAGCCATAAAATGACCAGAGAACTGCAGCAGGTAATTGCTGATCAGTTTAAGGAACACAACACTTTCTCCAAGGGATAGGCAGTGCAGGGCAATTCACTATTAGAGGTCTGCAAATTAAACCATATCGTGAGCGTTTTGTATTTAAAACCAAAAGTCAGCAGCAAAAGCCAAGCCAGGCAAGGGCTGCCAGGGAGATTGTATAAAGGTCAAGGTTAAAAGAAGAAAAAAACCCCCAGATTCTGGCACAGACCCACGGGGCCACTGAATCACGCTCCCTTAAACACTTTTGACCAATTCAGTGCTGTTCCACAGGAATAAGGATGCAGAGTGCTGGTCCCGTGCCAGAGCCTGGCCCTGAGATATTGCAGGGCCCTGTCTTCCCCAGTGAGGTCCACAACGAACAAGCCCAGAACTGCAACTGGTGAAAGTCCTTCTGTTACCGCCCGAGTCTAGCTCTCACCATTTTATGTACATTCTTAGGCATAGAGGAAGAGTGGGCATCACCCCCACTTTCACATATTTACAGAAACATGCATACACACACCTCTCTCTACATCTGTATACTCACGTGCAGAAATTATACCCAAAGACACATGTAGCTATAGATATATAGCAATATCACATACTGCCCTGCTCACACTGCACTCACCTCACTTACAGGCACTATTGTACACATGCACACATACCCCCTCTTCCCATTCAAACTCACATTACAGTTTTAGCTTTCTCCATGGAGAAACTGGGAAGGAGAGCACTGCCTACCAGTATCATATTAGGACTGAAAGTCTCAGGATTTTGACAGTCCTCAGACATTCTCCTCTTCCCAAGCAAAAGAAATGCACTTTTCTATTCTCTCCCCTTTCTCCCCTTAACCCTCCCCTTCCACCTTCTCCTCTCTTCCGTCTCCAGCAGCATAATAAAAAATTACAGAGCATTTCAGGATAAAAATGGCTAAAACAAAGTGAATGCCTTTACGTTCTAAGGTAGGATCAGCTGCAAACTAAACCACAGCAGTACCTTCGAATGGCCCACATGGCTTTGCTGGGCACTGAAAGGCCACCGCTCCGCTGACCCTCGGGTGATGCCGGGTGGCAGGAGCTCCAGGTGCCCCGGTGAGCGAAGCGATGCTTCCCGTTCTCCCGGCCGGCCGGAGGGACGTGCAGCGAGGCAGAGGGAGAAGCTGCAGGCTGCCGGGCAGGTCTCTGGTGGATCCCCCCGTTTCTCCTGATTACATGTGCAGAAAAAAGTGAAAAAAAGAAAAAGAAAAAAAAAAAAGGAGAAATGGGAAAGAAAAGGATTTAAAGATTTTTATTTTTCACGTTTACTTATCAAAAGGTTGAACATTATGAAAACAGCACAACATGGTATGTGAACTACAACAGACAACATTTTATTTAATCTAAAATACAAAGCCTTCACGTGCTGGAAGGACTGGATTTACTAGTTCCTAACTGGATCTAGAGAAAGGGACCTGACAGTAACAGAAGATGAGCACGTAAGCTGTTCTGTGGACCTTAGTTAAGGTGGGAAGCACTGTGAGGAAGAATATGATGACATTCCTAATTTTTTGCTGCAGAAAATAATTGGTATTCTGCCTCATTTAAATAGAAAATAAACCTCTACAGGTTGGAGGAGGAAGCAGGAGGAAATGAGTTTCAGCAGCATGTAGAAGGCTGCTGGTTTTCTGCTGCCCCCTAAAAAAAAAAAAGTCAAATACAGTCATAAAATCCTGAGCACCACAGACAGAAAAGTGCACAATTCATGCAACCAGAGCAACTGTGTAAATGCAGCACATCTGGACTACACATCTTCATTCCTGCAAGCTAAACAACCGCCACATCTGGATAACTGGATGCCACTGAAGCAAAGAAATAACCTGAAGAGGCCACTGGAATGTGAACCTACAAAAAGGGGGAGATTGAGGGGAGGGAGAAGGAGAAGGGCACAGATTTTTTCCTCCCCAATTAATTAACATTTGTGTTACCTTTAGCCAGGCAGCTCCTGAACACACTTGGCAGACGCTTAACACAAGTGTTAACAATCGTGCCGGCTGTCAGTCCCCAGAAAACTCCTCACTGGCTACATGCCCACCAGCTACACTGTTAGGAATTACTTATCTGCTCAAAATAGGATAAATCCTCTGCCGATCCATCATACCTGCCCTCTGATTGCTACTGCTGCTGGAGGGGCCAGAGGGAGGCGGGTGGGCCTGAGAAGTGGCCCATCCTCCATGGGGTCCTAGAGAAAGGGCTGAAACGGGAGGGAAGCCAGGATGCTCCTGAGAAGAGGACAGTCCCTCTTCTCCCCCCCTGCATTTGCTGCTCTGGCACTAACCAAACCCTTCTGAGAGCTGATTCAATTCACTTCTGCAAAAACATGAATTCAGTGTCCCCTTTTTATAACCTAGATACACTAGTCCACACAGGGGTGTGACAGGCTCCAGCGCCTGTTGGGCAGCACTGGTGGGAGCAGGAGCGATGGCAGGAGTGGGAGCTCCCATCCTCAGCACCAATAGGCTCTTCCACTCATTCTTTGATAGATCTGCACCAGGTATGGTTTGGGAGAGAGATGGATAAAAAGCAGCTTCTATCAAACAAAAGACTTCTGACTTCTAATGGGTACAGAACAGCACAGTTATTTGTGACATTAAGTGGGTGAGGCATAAAAACTTCAAAGTATTTGATTTTTCTCCAGCGACGGCTGAGAGCTGCTAATTATCCCAGTCATTCCAGAACTGGCTGGATATTTTCCCTCTTTTTTGCATTCTGTAAGGACAGAAAGGCTCAAATCTGATTTTACTACTAAACATCGTATGATATTTCTACACCCGTGACATTGTGGCTGAATAATCAAGCAGACATAGCAAATGGGATGTTGATCAGTCAGAACTCCCACAGAAAAAAAATAAGTGTTAGTCTTGCCAGAGTGAACTGAGCATTTTAGAGATCAGTTCTTCACATCTGGTGCATCTGCCCAGCAAAAGTTATCAGGCAGCAATAGAGTAACAAATAAATAAATAAATACAGAACGAAACCTTGGTTCCTCTTAAATGTTTTAAATGTGTGCCATCTAATTCATCAGGGCAAGTCCATCTCCCACAGTGCTGCATATAATAATATATATTTTGCACACACAGGTGGCAACACTTGAAAAGCACAGCGAGAACAGCAAGTTACTTACAGTTTGAGTCCACTGCAGGAGAGGGAAAAGAAGTCATAAACCAAGCACACGCCAAACACCGTGATTCCAGTTTCTTTCACCAGCATTGCACACGTCCCAAGGAACAAACTAAGCAGCAAAAAGAATGGGGAGGCAGTGGGAGGGAAATGTTCCCCAACATAAAGCTGATCCACACTCCTGAAAAACAGATTTGACATAAGTATTTTAACTTCTTTGTTATTTTCATGTTTACTACATCCACACAAATACTTAGGCATTTTTCCCTAATTTCTTAAGATGCTGATAATAAGTGACACGAACAATCTATGCTCTTTGCTGATAAATGATGAAAGGTTTAGACACAGGACAGGAAGGGAAAACACAAGTATTGAGAGGCACAGCAAGAATTTGAGCAGAGGAAGAAAAAAAAGACAAGCAAAAAAGACAGAGTGGAAGGCAGAGTAAGTATGAAGACAGAAAGGTCAGAAAAACACCTGCTTTCTGTCATCTAGAACACACATGCTTAATTCTCCTTCTGTGACAGAATGCACTATGCAAGCAAAAATTCCTCCAATCCCACCCACACTCCCCTGACTCAAAGATGCGTCCTCACCATTACCAGACTGGGCAGCAAGCCTGTACGAGAGGGAAGGTGGTAAAAAAGAACCCAAATCAAACAAGCCGATTCCTGCGGGGTCACTACCAGTTTTATGCCTTTGAAACCTTCTGATGAAAACAGCATTGGGGATTTGTGGCAAACAGCCCAAGAGGGATATAAGCAGTTTTTCCACGCGGCCACGGTGCTATACCTAAATGAAATAGCGTTGCAAAAGGGGCAGAAACCCCATCTGAGTAAAGCTATTTCTTTACCTATGCTTGTTCAGTCACAGTTTTAGGACACAGACCAGCAAACAGAGCCAAGTTTTCATCTGAAAAGGATGACTAACGGTCTAGACACAATCCTTAACTCTCTCAGACCAGGAATTTTACAGCCCCACAGTCACAGCACGTATTTCAAAGGCAGGGATGTGTCCATCCATCCTTCACTCTACATACAGACAGTTTACCTTCAGTTGAAAACATTTCTTCATAATTTTTAGCTCTACAAGCCCTCATCCACTGTATGGCCAGCTGTAGTGTCAATGGAAGAGGGGACCTTAAATATTTACTTCTCTTTTTATGTTTATTTCTTCCCATAAGCATCACTCATACGGCACCATGGCTGAAAGCAGGGACCAGGGCACTTCCATGCAGCACTGCTGGGGAAAGCACCTCTGCCAACAACCCAAAACTGACAGGTTTCCCCTTTGCCTCCTCCCCAGACTAGAGCATCTCATGCTATTATCACAACTGATAGGAAAGGTCCATACCTATTATAGGAGAGAAAAGCCAACAGAAAGAGTAGGCAGGCTAGGACATCCGCTCTGCCTACTATACCTGTTACCTAAAAGGAAAAGAGACACATAGGTGTAAAAGCACATATATAAAAAGCACGGGCATTCAGTGACTGTTTGAACAATCCATGCTAACTACTACCACGTTAAGCTTTCCACCTTCCAGTGTCACCCTCCCTCAATATAGTGAAATGTCACTTGGTTAAGGGAGGATACGCTCAGTTTTGTCTGCTGCATTTCTCACTTGGCAAAACAAATGAGTAAGCCAACAGTTAAGTCACTCTTCACTTTCTCATTAAAATATTAATAAAGTTGCATAGCAAAACACCAATTTTAGGGATCTGTTTTAATTTTGTATAAGGCGGTTCAAATGAGAAACACATTCAGCTGCCAGAACTGAGATTTGTTAAAAAAAAAAAAATAGACTAATGAAAGAGCAACTCTTTGGAGAAGACTTAATATACAGGAATGAGTTAATGATTAATATTAGAATGAACTTTATCACCAAAAAGTGATAGAGTGGTATGCAATTTATTCCCTTTCTGAATAAGCTGAGTTTATGAGAGTTTTTTTCTACATATTAATTAACCAAATCTTTTTACAAGAAAGAGAATACTGAAGAAGAATGTATAAACACTCTTTTTACAAACTATTTCAATATTCCATTTCATAAAGATCTAAAAATTGCCCATAAAGCAAATAAAAGGCCCTTTGAAATTTCACCTCTTTTGAGATTACTTAATTAAGCTATATTCAGCGCTCTGGCATTTATTTTAACCTTTTTAAGTTCTGACCCAGACAAAAATAAATTCAAAGAGTGCCTCTTCTAAAACCTCCCTTATAATATAAAGCCGTATTATCAAAAGGAGCCCAGCTGATTAGTTCACACGAGACAGCACAGGGAGTAACTGTAAAGCTCGTGGCTTTTTGTTATTAAGGTAATCTCTCCTCAAAAGTTCTCAGCCGCCGCAGCCGTTTCCCTCGCTCATTTACAAAGGCTGGTAAGGAAAGCGTGTGATGTCAATGGCATCCCAGCTAACGAGTGCATTTTTTTTTCTAAGTAGGGGTAGCTAGACATTGCATTTCCTTCTTAACAACAGCAAGACTCATTTTATCTACAGATGTACCTCCCAACGCTAACGGACTGCAGTTTTAGCATGATTATGTCTTTAAATGTTTTCTTACAACTAACAGGAAAATGTCCAATATAAGCTGTTGCTCTCTAAACTTACAACGCTTATTAAGCTAACAAGCATTTTGCGAAGATGATACTCCTGGTTTTTAATTGAAATCAATATAAATTAATCCATGGGTCATATCACCTCTATCTTAGCGATCTCCTCCAGAATACACACTAATGCTCCCGTCACTTTTGCCTCCCTTGAATTGATGACTATAGGAGATGACTGAAGGCATGCAACAATGTCCCAGCAGGAGAGCATGGCCTCACCGAGGCCCTTGGTTTCAGAAGACTCAACATTTTCATCAGCTGAATGACTGTCCATTTATTCCCAGCATCACTGATTAGAACCATCAATTAGATTTAGCACCAGAGCAGAAAGATGGCCAGTACAAATACACTTTTTTCTTAATGACTCCTGTAAATTATTTTAAACATAGTACATTCTCACCTTTGCTCCTCCACAGCAAAAATCACAAGTACCATATTTTGTATGACTCTGAGGTTTCTTTAGAAAATAATAATAATAAAAAAAAGACTTTAAGCGTGCGTTTATTTTTAGCTTTTGTGTCACCCTTCTTTTCTGTGTCACATACTTACAGCCTCGGTGTGAATGGGATGCACAGCAAAGAACAGCGCCGTGACAAAAGCAAGTCGGCAGTCCTTGAACACAGCTTTGTCACAAGTGTACATCAGCACAAGAGTCACCAGACAGTGTAAAATCACATTCACCGCGTGGAAATAGAAGGGGTTCATACCAGCCAGCAATATGTTCAACCTGTAAGGATACAGAAAGGCACCATTAGCGAGCTGGAGAGGTCTTATAATAGCAAGACTGCTTTCAAATACTCCCAATTATGCTTTTTGCCTGATTTGCAGTCTTCCAATGTTAAGTGCTATTAAACTAATTAGCGAAAAATCACTCTGAACTTCTGGTTTATCTGATTGACGAGAAATCAGATTCCTGCATAGGGAAGAGTGTGGCCAGCAGGTCGAGGGAAGTCATTCTGCCCCTCTACTTTGCACTGGTGAGGCCACAACTGGAATCCTGCATCCAGTTCTGGGCTCCCCAGTTCAAGAGGGACAGGGAACTACTGGAAAGGGTCCAGCGAAGGGCAACAAAGATGATTCAAGGATTGGAGCATCTCCCTTATAAAGAAAGACTGAGAGAGCTGGGACTCTTTAGTCTGGAGAAGAGAAGGCTGAGGGGAGACCTTATTAATGCTGACAAGTATCTCAAGGGAGGGTTGAAGGAGGAGGGAACCAGACTCTTTTCAGTAGTTGCCAGTGAGAGGATGAGGGGCAATGGACACAAGTTGGAACATAAAGGGTTCCACTTGAATATGAGGAAGAACTTTTTCACAGTGAGGGTGACAGAGCCCTGGAACAGGCTGCCCAGGGAGGGTGTGGAGTCCCCTTCTTTGGAGATTTTCAAGCCCCGCCTGGATGCAGTCCTGAGTAACATGCTCTAGCAC